AAATGTACATTTATGTAGATTCTGCGCGTAAAGCAATTCCGAAACATTTGGCAAGTAAGATCGATCAAGGGAAAGATAAGAGATTGAAATTGACTAGTGAGGCCAAGGTGAGTGCATACTAGTGACATGTAGTGTTTAATGGAAATAAGACTTGCGATGAGTCTATTTCCTATAGTAATATGCATGAAGTCATAGACATGATTATGTGTTGGTTATAACTATATGTGATTATATGTATTACATTGATTGTATGTATGCATGACTAAAGATAATGATATGCTTTGTATATGCTATATGATTTATGTAAGACTTTATTATGTAATAATGGAAGAACATGGAATAAGTTACATGATAGAGTCATAAGAATTGAAATGAACATGAGAGAATAAGATAATCAAGTATAAGTCATATGATATGGTATAAGTGATTATACGAGAAATGTTAGGAGACTCTAAGAGAATAGTATGAATTCGAGGGCATAAATAAGGATACATAAGTTATATAGAGAAGATTGATAAATTAAAGGAAACTATGGTTTATGTATTAAAGTGAAGAGCTACAAAGTTTTATTAAAGAGTATTGTGGAAGTCATGAGAAATTGAACTAAATAAATAGATGGTTTATGTGAGTGAAAAGGGAAAATGATATAAAATAAGTGGAAATTATTTATAGGATAGAATGATACTAATTGAACCTGTAATATAAACTTTATAAAGGAGTACTTGGGTAAAATCATTATATGATACAATTATAGAATATTACTATACAAATTATATTAAAATAGTATATATGAGAATATGAGTAAGTTTATAGGTTATTGATAGGACATATAAGAGTATATAAATGTATGATAATATGAAAAAGTGAACTAAGTTTAATGATGTTGAACCCTATGAGTAGAAGTTATGTGATTATAAGTAACATGATTATATGATCACAAGATATGATACATGATATGAGATATATGAAAGAGAAAATATATGTTATATGAAATATTATATGACTATGCGATTATATGAAAATGTTATACGCGTAAGTGAACCATGTGTTTATATGTATATGTGATATGAGATTTATATGACGATGAGCTATGTGAAAGAACTACATGACTATGTGTATATGTGAATGTATGTTAACATAAATATTAATGCCCATGTTATGTGTCATGAGAGCTAGGGGTATAGTTGCCATGCCAAGAGTCGAGGGTCTATGTGGTCCTTCGGGACATATATGTATTCTTTGGAACATGTGTGAAGTCTGGTGAGACACATACTTGATCATTGGCATATGTATATGATTCTTAAGGAATGATATGTGGTCCTTCGGGACATATATGTATTCTTTGGAACATGTGTGAAGTCTGGTGAGACACATACTTGATCCCTAGTATATGTATATGATTCTTAAGGAATGATATGTGGTCCTTATGGACATTATTATATGGAACTACGGTGCAATTCTACGCGGCACTCCGGTGCAATTCTACGTGGCACTTCGGTGCAATTATACGAGCTCTGGTGACAGCATAATGCACAACCTCTATAGACTCACATATCTATAGTTCTCATATGTGTACATGGGCTTTGAAAAGAGAACATAATTTGATATAATGATATGTGTATTTCTCATGACATGGTAGAAGTGCATATATGTCATGGTGATATGAGATGCTATGCGTTTATGTATTATATGATTATATAAATTAGTAATGTATTGTGGCATATTAAAAAATATATAATATGTTTATATTCATTAAATGCTCATATGACGAAATTGAAGTAATGACAAGGGAATTAGTAAGGATAAACAGGTTGGTGATATGAGAACAATGTATGTGATATATGTATATGATGTGTGATATGAATTGCATGATATGAATTGCATGATATGATATATGTGTGATAGGGGTTTTGGTATCTGTTACATAATATACATGAATATATGTTGATGTATATGTAAATGAGTTGTATAATTTGATAGCATAAAACAGTCATGCATGATTAGTGGGTATGAATTCCATTAGATGTGTTTTCTTTATGCCTCACTAAGTCATCGACTTAGCGTGTGAGTGTTTCACCCGCAGGTTACCGAAAGTGAATATAGAAGCTGTGAGGAGCAATACAGGTCAGCATCTCCCTTACAAGATTTCAGATCAGAAAATAGATGAGTTAAATGATTTTTGTTATTTTGAATATATTTGGCATGTACTAATTGATTGAGTTAAATATGCTCTGATCGATTTTGGTTATTGTGGTCAAATTATGTAACTAAACTGTTTTTACTTTAATGAAAGTTTTAAATTTTCTTTGAATTTTGTCAAGAGTCAAAGTTTGAAAAGTCAATGTGACACCTCGTACACGTATCCGGGTCGAGTACGGGTTGAGTGTGTTACATATATCCTGAGCATAGATGCTTAGAACACGTTGTAAATGCATTACAACTCTAGTGGTAAGGCTAACCTGTAGACCACTGTTTTGATTCTCTCGAGTACCTCATAAGGTCCTATAAAGCAAGGAGTCAACTTTTTTACGCCCAAGAGGAGCACTTTCTTTCATGGGGAAACCTTGAGGAACACATTGTCCCCAACTACGAACTCGATGTCCTTACGCTTCAAATCTGCATAAGACCTCTATGTGTCTGAAGCTTCCTTTAGCTGGCTCTGGATCATCTGAACTTTCTCATTTGTCACTCTGATCAAGTATGGCCCCACTATCTCATCCTCACTGAGCTTTGTCTAACATAGTGGAGTCTTACAATTGCGCCTATATAAGGCCTTATACAGAGCCATCTAAATGCTCGACTAAAAACTGTTGTTGTAGGTAAACTCCACTAATGGCAAGTGGTCCTCCCAACTACCCTCGAGATTAATGATTATGCACCTGAGTATGTCCTCAAGAATTTGGATAACTCGATCTGATTGGCCATCTGTCTAAGGATGGAAAGTTGTGCTAAGTGTAGTTTGGTGCCTAAGGATTTGTGGAGGGCTTCCTAGAAGCGAGAAGTGAATCGAGGGTCTCTATCTGATATGATGGAGGTCAGCACGCTATGAAACCTCATTATCTCACGGATGTACAACTGAGCTAACCTCTCTAAGGTATAGTCCATCCTAACTGGGAGGAAGTGAGCTGATTTGGTTAGTCGATCTACTATGACCTGAACTGCGTCTTGTCTCTGTCTGGGTTGAAGCAATCATGAGGGAACTTGGCGTTCCACTTTCACCTGCTGACACACTAGACACCTAGCGATGAACTCTAACACTTCTCTTTTCATACCCGACCAATAGTACAACCGATGAAACTCTTGATACATCTTGTTATTGCCTGGGTGTACTTTGAGGGGACTGCAATGCGACTCGTGGAGAACCTTACTGCGCAACTGAGTATCTAGGGGTACGTATAAATGACCCCTGAAGTACAACACATCTCCATCGCGTTAAAAGTTACAAAATGGTTATCCAATTATAGAGTGTTGCTTTGTTGAGTCCCTCGACTATTAAAAGTTACAAAATGATTATTTAATTATTCATTATGTTACAAACTCGTCTTTTTCCGTTAAAAATGGATGATATTCTGAGTTGAACTTTAACCTAATAACTGTGATATGATAAAATCTGATCTTAGAACCTCAAATGACTATCATATCCTATTCATCATGTTAACGTCCAACTTAAACAACCGATAATTTTTAACGAAAAAAGACGAGTTTGGAACATAATGAATTGTTAGGTGACCATTTGTAACTTTCAATTGTCTAGGGACTTAACAAAGCAACATTTCTATAGTTGAAGGATCATTTTGTTACTTTTAATAATTGATGGACTTAATAAAACAGTACCTTATAATTAGAGGACTATTTGCATACTTTTCCGTTTATTATATTTAATAAATCAGAATCCATATAAAAATATTGTTTTTCCTAGAATAGTCAAATTAAAAAATTTACATCAATAAAGTTTATGTTATTAATGATTATTTTTTAAGTAGGTATCATTTTATATTTAACTCAAATAATTCAATATATATATATATATATATATATATATTAAAAACCTCGTCTTTCAATTGAAAGCTACCAACTAATTTCTACAAAATTAACGTCACGTATTCTCTTATTTTCCCTATCCCATAAATCTCAACATATAAATTAAAATAATATACTCAATTCTCTCTTGCAAATATAAAATACCTTGATTAAAAGTTTAATTAGTCTGATCAACAATTTTCATATTGCTAATGTCATTTAATTTATTTATCATTTGTGCAATTGAAATGTTTTTATTATAGTTAATTCAGAATAATTCATTTGTCATAACAATTACAAAATGATATCATATCTACGTAATTATAAATGTTCAATTATATCTCTTAGTCACAATAAAAATTAATACTTTTATTTAGGGATAGACATAGGATCCGAACCCGACGGGTTCCAACCCGATCCGATCGAGTCGATTTTTTTTTAAAATTTTGGATTCGGGTCAGATTTTTTTAAATGTGATGTACGGGTCGGGTTCGGGTTTAGGGTGAAAAATACTCGACCCGACCTAAAAAATATATAATTTTACCTTAAATATTTAGGAATAATTACAATAATACCCCTCTATATATTACTTTTTTTCAATTAAGTCACAGTTTTTATTGAATAAAAATAATTTTATTATTATTTCGGGTCGGATTTTTAAGTTATATATTGGGTCGGGTTCGGGTCTAGTGAAAACTTATTTTAGTCGGGTCAGGTCGGGTCTTGGGTGGAGGACTCCTTGCTCTCAGGTCGGATGGACCAAAAATCCAACCCGACCCATGCTCATCTCTACTTTTATTAGCAAATGCATTAAGGTAATTAAAAATGCGTATTTAATATATTTTTAAAGAATATATTTAAATTTAATGATACTTATCTTAAAATAATAATAACAATATAAGATTATCTTTAATTAGGCAAGTTAAAAGAACCACTAAATAAGAAAATAAAATAAGGTTAAATCTAAAAATCCTTGTATGTACAGCGGCAGAAGGAATTGAAGCAGCAAGGGGAAAGGAGACATCGACTTTCTCGCTCCTTTCACAAACTTCGGCTTCGTTCCTTTATCCCTCGATTTTTCAATATAGTCTCTCCCAAAACTCTCTTTCCCCCCATTCGTCTTCGGAACATTCAAATCCACGGTCCCAGATCGAGGTATGCTTGATTCCGATTTCCCTTCCCATCTTTACTCTAGATCTTTCTCATTCATTCAATCTGATTATTATTTCCTTTTTCCCAATTTCGATCGTATTTGCTTTTGGAAGATGTTGCACTTTTTTTAATCTTCAGTGTTCTGATCGCGCTTTACAAATTTTGAATGTTTTATCCTAGGGTTTTAAATCTTGATTTCTTTATTTCCTCTTTTATATATTTATAACTTAATCAGCTTCACCTATTCCTGCCCCTTTGATCGCGTCTTTGATTAGAAATTAAGCTTTTATATATACGGGCATCTAATTACGTTAGTGTAAAGCCGGATTAATTAGCTTTCATCATTTTTTATACAATTTGTATTTATTTAACTCGAATCCAATTCCTGCACCTAGAATTTCAAATCTTTATGTCTATAAGATCCCCCCCCCCAACATGTTTAATAGCGGAAATTTTTGTCTCGAATGAATAGTTAGATATAAGTGTGTAAAGCTAATATAATTTCACAACAGTGTAAGCAGATCTGCCTCATATATATATATATAGATTTGTATTTGGTAAAAAAATGTTGATAATTATCTTGTGCTCATATATATAATTTCACAACAGTTTAAGCAGATTTGCCTCATATAAGTGTGTAAAGTATGATTGCTTTCAACAATTATAGGGTTGCACTTCAAATTTTTCCCCAAGAGTAATGAGAAATGATTTGGATTGTTCTTGATGTTGCATTTCAGAGGATAGAGTTTACACTCGAAACATTGCTTTGCTGCTGCTAAATTGTTTATTCTTTTATATATTTTTTATAATTTACAAGCAAAAATAAAAGGCAAAACTTTGGTAACAATTAATAAATAAGTTAAATGTGAAACCATATTTGCTTTTGTATTCTTATACATTTTGCTTTTAGGACTTTTTTAAATGTAATCATAGTACGTACATTTTCACTTCCACTGTTATGTTTTTCTCACTTCATTTTTCTTTTTCCCTAAAATATTTATGTTCTATCTGGTCAATAGGATGACGGAATGCAGTATGTTATAAAGTTATATTTTTTGCCTCTTCCATTGTTTCCTACTATCTTTATTTGTAAAGAGAGACCAGTCATTTATATGTGATTTTATTTTGTTTTACGATTTTAGAAAGCTTTTTTACAGTTTTACTTGCTATTTGCTAATTTAGCTTTGATTTATTATTGATTTCGGAATATTTAATTTCTCAAAAAAATGTTTTCTGGACTCTGTGTGCTTTAAGCATATTTTAGAAGTTTGCAGCTTATTCACATTTAAATCATTTTAGAAAATGTACCATATAGTTTAGATCTTGATTTAGAAGTGACATCTTGTACTACTTTGGTTGGAAACTTTTTAAAATAAGGAACGGTTTTAGTTATAGGAATATAGGATGGAGGTAGTTTTTAAAGATGGAATTACTTTTTTTTAGCAATTTCTTACTTATTAGCACTCTTGAGCAGGCTTTTTACCTTTTTTTATACATAAAAGCAGTATGATCATTTTGTCTTATGTTCTTTGGTTTAAACTTTTTCTTAAATTTGTACAAGCTTCGTCATAACTTATGTTAGGAATTCCATCAAAGATGATACATGTCCTTGATAGTTGTAAGTTAGAAAGAAATTTTTTGGATATAATTTGATTGTTCCAGATTATTTGTAAAGATATCATGATGGTAGAATGTGTACTTGCAACCAGCAATTCTTTGGCGAGTTCAATGGAAACTCACCAAGAGGTCAAGGCTTCAAACGGTTGGACCGTTTCTTGATCTGGTGGCTGCCATCCAGTTTATGCTATGGGGTGGGTTAGGATAGCCTGGGGTGTAGCCATGTAGGGCAAGGGTGCTAACTGTGTAATGGTAAAAGAATAGAAAGTGGTAATGAATTTAAAACTTTATGCACTTCCATATCGTGCTTGGCACCATTTTACTTGTAAACTTGGCCCCTATTTCTAATTTCAGTGAGCAAGGGTGCTTCCACTTTGAAACAGTTCTCTGGAGGTGATTTGTGCAGCATATTTTTAGTTTTAGTTGTGACTTCCCGTTGTGACTTTTCTTGTTATTTGCCTTATCAAGTTATCATATATCATTAATATTCAGTTATGTCACAGAAAACATATAAAGAAGCTAACTTGGTCACACAAATAAATTTGTGCTTTTCTTTAAATATCTGGAGTGTCTTTGTGATGCTGTTAGTGGTAGTATTATTAATAATTTCAAACATCATATATAATCTGCCAACAACAAATTTGGTCTCTGATAGTCTGATGCTCTACTTCTGTTCGGAAACTTGAACTTGAAGATTTAGATTGGCATTTCATTTGTAATCATGACTGTTACATTTATAAGTGTTCTATCACCCAAGTTACCCTCTTTTTGAATTCTATGTTCCCAAACTTGACTTCAGTGAACTGACCTGTGTGGATTTTCATAGTATTGACATTTTGGTATATGCCATCTAAGAACACAAATGAGGATGGTGCTGCATGTTTTGACATGACCTAAAAGATCCTTCTGTGTTCTTTTTTCTCTCGACAGACATGTCCATTTATTATCAACTAAGATCCCAGATGTTACATTGTCTCAACATTGTTGATTGTGCTGAAGATGTATCTTCTAGCTGCCTGATAATGATACCATATTTTTCTTTAATTAGAGATCTTACTGTTAGTTGAAAGTGTGTTCATTTTCAGTTTTTAGTTAACACAAACAGTACATTTATCACTCGTTAAAGTAGGAATAGCAGGAAATTTCAAACAGTAGTTCAGCTTCTTTAGTCTGAGTCAACAAGTCTACTAATATTGGTTTTCAAATTTTTGGCATTGAATTCCTTTCTTTGTTGCCTTAGATGTGTGAATTTTAAAGTAGGTTTGGTGTAATTTTTTCTGAGAACACACACCCATGTTAACAATAATCTCTCGTTCCCTAGAGAGACTATTTTTTTTTGGTATTAAATCAGAACATAAATGTACAACAAACCTAAGGCCTGCTATAAGATGTGAATGTGTAAGTGGTAGATTTAACCTGTTTATAACCTAAGCTATAGCATGTATGATTATTAAACGAAATCCTAACTGACTGCTCCTTACACATAACTAACATCGAAAACTAAAGTTTGCAACTGCCAATGAACTTTCTTCTCTGATGCTAATATACTTTCCCATTCACATCTACTTAGTTCTCAGGTTTTAGCCCTGTTTTGTACTGGAAACACGGGACATCGTTATTGTTGTTGTTCTGCTAAATTTGAAGTCTGCATTAAGTGCATGCACTGCATTTTGTTTTCTGGCATCAAAAAGTTTTTATAGGCTCTTCCATAGTCCCATTATAAAATGTGGAATATGGGATCAAGTTGTTAACTCAGTGTAAAGTGCTAGTCATATTATTATTGACTATTTTTTACAAAAAAGTTCTATTTTAAGTGCATCAGATCTTATTTTTACCTTTCCCGTTCTTTAGGTAAAATTGCAAATGGCCAAAGTTAGCAAAGTGCGAAAGTCTGATTCACGCCAAAAAATGGTGAATCATTATCTATTGCCATCTTACCCTAGGAAGGCTGGCAAAGGCACCCAACAGAAAAAATGTTCAAAAGCTTCAGAGAAGAAAGATTGGGAAACTGCAAAATGTTCCGTTTGTCTAGAGTTTCCTCACAATGCTGTTCTCCTCCTCTGTTCCTCTTACGACAATGGTTGCCGCCCTTACATGTGTGCCACTAGCCGGCGCTTTTCCAATTGCCTTGAGGAATACAAGAAAGCCTACACTACAGTAACTTCAGTGGACAGTGGTTCGGTAGATAATTCAGGTATTGTTTCAGGTGTGGGAGAGTCCGTTGAAAAGATGGAAGTACCAGAGCTTCTATGCCCACTCTGTCGGGGACAAGTGAAGGGGTGGACGGTGGTAGAACCTGTACGGAAATATCTCAATAGGAAAAAAAGATCCTGCATGCAAGACAAGTGCTCCTTTGTTGGAACTTACAGAGAGCTCAAAAAACATGTCAAGGCAAAACACCCATTGGCACGACCTCGAGAAGTGGACCCTGTACTTGAAGAGAAATGGAAAAGGCTTGAGAATGAGAGAGCACGGGATGATGTAATCAGTACAATCATGTCATCAGTGCCGGGGTCTGTGGTGTTGGGGGATTATGTGCTCGAGCCTGGATCTCGTGGTATCTTCAGAGACGAATATGATTCAGATGACCCTTTCGATGATGGTTTCCTTCACCTAGACTCATCTGTTAGGTTGCATAGCAGATTCATGGATTATGACCTATTCGATGACGGAGGTTTTGGGATGCACCGTGCTTTCCGTGCAGTTTCCCCAGCTGCTAGATCTAGGCATTCTCGTCTGTTGGGGTCTCTAAGACGAAGGCGAATCCCCTGGGCCTGAGGGCGTAACGGAAGCCGATAACTTTGTGTGTTTATCTATACAATGAATGGAGATTTACTTAACCGCACATGAGAATAAGTAGATGTATTTTCTACCGGGTCACATGGTGAGATTTATTGTAACTTGATGTGATGCCGCTGGTAAATGAACGAACTGTAGGACAGTAGGTCACTGGTGGCTGTAGGTTCTATAGTAGGTTATTTGTTATGGAATATCTGGGGGGTTGGGTTCAATTTGGCAGCCAAAAGAATTCAAACATTCTTTCTATTACTATGACTGGTCTCTTTGGTTTGGAAGTTGGTAGGCGACGTTTTCTCGATGCTCATCCTGTTGATATCAGATCTTCAGTTGACACTAAGATTAAGTTTGAATATTTAGGTTTTTTTTATTATTAAAAGAATAAGTGAAGATGATAAGATTCTCGTGTAAAAATTCTATTTGGGTTAATTTTTAGATTTAATAAATTTGAATGACGGCTCGCACCAAACAAACCATACTATGAACTAAGAAATTAAAGGTGATTGGATCACCGTAGGGCCTGACCCATGAGGATCTTATTCTATCTGATTTTTGCGTGAAAACTACCTTCTCTTGTGCTATCCCCTCTCATAATGACCGTTTGGATCTAATGTGAAGAATGAATGAAGTCCATTGATGATTTCACGTTGGAATAGATTTGTACCCTTTTCAATTGCTTCAACTAGAATGACAAAAACTTTAGGACTCCATGAATTTCGATTCGATATAATAAGGTCAGTTTTTCTAACGGGAAGTTTGTCTTAATCTTCTTGGCATTCACATAACATTGTGTGTGTGAATTTTCAGAAGTATATCTGGTTACTTATGTTCTGTCTTGCTATATTTTTCATGCTCGACTTATAGTGACATAAGACGGCAGACATACAGCTTTCTGAGAGTGAGTATATACCTACCCTAAACTCTTATTTTTCTATAGTTAATTATTTATTTTATTGACGACATTCATTTTGAAACTTTATTTGTGTTCATTCTATCAAAAAAATTGTCACCGATGACAATTTTTATCGCATTCTAATGCCGAGTCTTTGTTTACATTAAATCACCCTTCTTCACTAAAATAATATCCTGGAAAAGAAAAAGTAATTAAAGATGCATCTTTTAAGTAATAAATATTTCAAGGAAATTTGTTCATAGTATTTATGTTTTAAAATCTGTAATACCCTAATTTTATCCAGACCATTTGAATTCATTTGAAGATGATCAAGAATTAATTTGGAGATATTTGTGCTCAATAAAAATTAGTTTGAATGACATAAGGGCATTGATAAAGGATGAAGAGAAGCCTGTATTTGGGGTTAATATGAAAATTGAGAAACTTAGGTGCTTAATTGGATCAGAACCATATTTATTTTATTTTGAAATTAAAGATATAAATTGAAGGCCAAATTCAAATCCCAAATCCAAATTAAATGTCTAGAGTCCATTTACATTTATGGCCCAATTACAACCCAAATTAATTACAAGCTCAAGACAAACCCAAGACCTAAGTCCAAGTTACATCAGAATCCAACACACTGACCCAACTCGGTTCAGCATACCCAAACATCCCACGAGAAGCACCACGCGTGAAGACAAGACTCGGCTCCCCAAACTTCTGCCCATGCCTCCACGAGCAGCCAAGCCCGGTTCCCCACTATGCCCATGCACTCCACGTGAAGCACCAGAATCGAGCAGAACCTTGACCAAGCACCACGCCCGAGCAGACATGGTTCTTTTACCCACACATTGTGCCCACGCCCAGCCAACACCACAACCGAGCAGCCCAAGACAACAAGTTCCACTACCCGTGCCCATGCCTCCTACTGCAGCAGTTCGTGCCCATCACTCCAATTGCAACCTGGCAGCACCACGCCCGATAACACCACCCACGAGAAGCACAACTGCCTATATCATGCACCATAAAAAAAATCAGTGGGGGGCAGCAGATTATGAGAAGCAAATAGAAGAAAGCATGGGGAAGAGAGAATAACGGGACACGAAAAAGCGAGGGGAACCAACGCAATCGGGGAGATTAAAAACAATATTCATCACAGCAAAAAGGGTCTCTCGGAAGCTAAAAAAAACAAGGGCATCAACAGGGGAGGAACATGATCAACCATCAAGAACAGAAAGAAAGAATTCACCAACAGAGAAAAACGGCAAGAGGGATATTCTATTCTCAATAGTCGGTAACCAAGCAATGTAAACAAAGGGTCTTTTTCCCTTCATGTTTTTTCTCGAATAAACAGAAATAAATGGTAATTTCACGAGATATATGCTATTATCTTTATTCGTTTCGATTTCCATGTGTGTAGCGTGTGTGATTTGTTTCGAAATAAACTAAATAATCGGGGAAAGGGAGTTAGTTTCTACCTTACTTTAGTCGAGTGTTCATCGGGGTTCGTTTGGTTTCTCACCGGAACCGTTTAGAGGAGGGAGGCCACGGTGGCCGCCGACGGAGTTGAATGATAAGGGCGAGGTCTAGGTCGAACCAGATGAAGAAGAGAGTAGATAGGGGATGAGAGGAACGATGCCTTGGTTAGGAAGAAGAAAAGAGATTGCGGCTGAGGGTTTAGAATAATAGGATTAGGTTTTGTTAATTAGAATATATATTAGAAATTTAGGGTTAATTATTTGTAAGTCACCATCTTTTTAGGGGTTATTAGCGTACGAGGTCCAATATATTTAGCTTAGTATATTTTAGTCCTCTAGTAGAATCTTTTATTTTTTATTTTGGTTCTCATATTTTTCGCACATTTAATTTTAGTCCTGAATTAGTAATGTGTTCAGTTTCAGTTTGTTTAGACATTTTGCTTTTATTTTTTGTATGTTTCGTTTTAGTTCCGAGGCTGAATTTTTCATGTTTGTAATCTTGTTCCTTTATTTTATGTGCACTTAATTTCAGTCCTACGTATGTTTAGGAATTTATTTCAATTTTGGTACATGAAATGTGATGGTTCATATTTTAGAACTTAATTTGTGCTCAATTTATGATTTTAACTTTAAAGTTTATTGCTCATTCCTTTTCAGTCCTTAAGTTTATTTGTCATGACATTTTTATTTATTTGTGTATTCATCTAGATATAAGTTTTCTTGGAATCATTAATTTTTGTTGATATTCTCACGTGCATAACTTGACTCTTATTACATAATTTGATTAAGGGTAATATCCTTTTAATTTAAAATTGTTGAAACGGCTTTTCTTAACTCACTAGAAAGCTATTTTTAACGATTTTAAATTACAAGTATATCCCAACAGTGTCACCTAAAATAATTGATTCATTACCGTAAAATTTGGGAACAAAAGAAAATGAAATATTCGACTATTTAAATTTTTCGAGAAAATGTCGTTAGAACTTTCTTAAAGATATGGTCTTGATCTTTTTAAATAATCGAATATCCCTTATCTTTCTAATGGCTTGGTAATCCTAATTTTACTTATTTTGTTGCTTTTGAATGTTGTAGAACTCGTATTTTTGTTGTTTTTAGGGATCAAAAATTAAATTAAAGATGAACTTGTGAAATTCATTACAAAGACATTAATTAATCAACTAGGTACCGATTTTAGGGCGTTGTGGGGGTGCTAATCATTCCCCACACGTAACCGACTCTCGAACTCAAATTTTGGTAACGCAGACAACTATTTGTCGTTTTGATTAAAATTAATTTTTATTTAAAATGGCAAAACATTTTTGGGTGCCCAATCACACCCTAATCAAAGATTGGTGGCGACTACTCGAACCATATGGTTTTATCGTAAAGGAATTTCCAAATTTTTGAAACGAGAGGTTTTATAAAACCGCATTGTTTTTAATTAAAAATCAATTATAAAGAGAATAATTAAAAATTGACGCGATTTTTTTTAAATCTCACCCATCGCTTAAAAATCGTTTCGACAGCTTGGCGACTCCGTTGGGGATGTTTTTTAGAGAGTCAGACCGATAGTCGATTAATTAATTGTCTTTATGAACGAAAGTTATAAGTTCGTTTTAATTTGGTTTTTGGTCCCTTATTTGTTTTAAATTTCTTGCTTGCATTTTAATTTGTGGTTTGGTTAACGAATAAATAGTTGTACTAACGTGTGATTTGCATGTTTCAGTTTTCTGACATTCACTTTGGTTTGTTGTGTTTCTTGGATCGGGGCAAAGGATTATGAGTTTCCCCTCACTGCCACTATAACCTTTCGATATTTAGAGTCTTCTAACTGTGCTCTGTTCCGTTAGGTAGGGGTGAACGCTACGCTTACGTGAGAAAAATTATTTTTCTCTGCATAGGCTTTAGCAAGTAACCTATGGGGTACTTGCCTTATGTTTACGAGTGAAACATTGAGTTTCCTCGTATGGACATAGAGAAATGTATCCTCTTGAATTGAACTTAGCCTGTTTAAGCCTATAATGAGTGAGGGTCGAGGGTCTGGTAAGCCCAATGGGGCACTAGCAAAGGATAATTCAAGGACCCTGTTAGTGATACCAAAACTTTGCCCGTCTTATGCTGAATCTCTGTCCACAGTCACAAAGGGAAACTCATTCTAACATTTTACCCGAATTTATTTCTTTTTGCAAGAGACATACGAACTAGAAATCATGTGGTTAGGTTTATTTTCTGTACGAAGTATGTGAATTAGATACCATGTGGTTAGGATTTTTTTTTTTGTAAATGACAAAGCATGTGGATAGATATCATGTTGGGTAGGATCTACTAAAGCATGATTGGGTAGCCAGCATGTGAGGGTAGGTTTTATTTGATGTTTACGGTACCCATTATCTTGTTGTTTATCTTATGTGCACTAGCCCATTTTTGTTTTATGTCTATTTTATTGTGATTTTATTGCATTTGCATCCTCATGTCATCAAAGGTGTTAATTCGCAAGTGATTGACTATTAAGAAGGCTAGCCATATTGAGGCAAGAAATTCTCCTCCATGTAGTCAAAACCGGGAGATCCGAAGATGTTCGAACGGTCCATGAAGAATGACATCCTATGAATGAAGAATCTGAAGTGATCAGAGAATTCCTTTAAAGGAAAAGGACAAGATGTTGACTCAGAAGATATACATAGCCATACCAAATACGTGAAGACCCTTCATAAAGATATGAAGACCACTTTGCATTAGAAGTAAGAATGAAGATGTTGATCGGAGAATTCCTTTAAAGATGCAAATGCCAAGATGCTGACTCAGAAGATAGATATGGCCATACTAAGGACGAGAAGACCCT